GCTTGCTAGGATCGAGCGGAGAAGTGAAGAGGACGATAATGGAAGAAGAGAAATCAGAACAAAAACAACAAGGAAGAGGATCTCTCGAGAAAGGAAGATCGTGCAAAGGATATCTTTATTACTCTTCCACTCTCAAATCCAAATCCAAAAACCCTCGATGCGTCGGAATCCCTCGTTCTCTCCGTCAAGGTAGCTCCAATTCTCCCTTTTGATTTGATCCATAGAATCCTCAATTAGGTTTTTCCCTTCAGACCTAGGGTTCCTGTATTCACCACGCAGCTCTTTGTTTGTAATTGGAAATGAAATTTGGATTTCTCATTTCGATTACTTCTCTGGATCAATGGGCAAAATCTTATTGTAAATTCAAAATCAACCCTTTACGAGTGATATTGCTTATTCATTTTTATTACGACCATTTGGTAAACTGAAGAGAGTTGTGCTTTTGCGATTTGTAATGGCAGTTCCTGACTACGTTGTTGGGCAATCTGAAGCTGAAGCTTCGAAAGAGGGACGAACCCTAACAGATTTTTATTATGGATGTTTGGGGTATTCTGTCTATATGACTGATAAAGACTCATCCATCAAGCAAGATACAAAGACACAACTTCCCGTTTGTGTCGGTCTTGAGGTTAAACACTCATAACTTTTCTCGAAATTCATTTCGTTGCTCTGAAAGTTATTCATTAAGCCATGGTGCATATGTCAATTAGGTTGTCATTTTACTGTTATGCGGTGACATTAGACCCGATTAGGCTGTCTGGTCAATCTAGTTGGATCTCCTTACCGCTAGTTTTGTTGGTGTATGTACTATATCACCAAAGAGGAATATGATCTTTGTTAAATAGGTGCTGTTTGCAATCTCTAATATCTCCGTAAAATTTTGTAATGTTCATGCAGATACTAGCAGATAGAAGAGCAGTTTCTGGCAACACTTCATCTGTTCCAACCCCCGTTCAAAATAAAAATGGTACACCTAATCCATTTTCATTTATTTTACACGCTGAAACGCATCCTGTCTCTTTTACGCCAATCATTTTTATCTATACTCTAGATCCTCGGGAGTTGCCTCAGCATCAGAACCATAGGCCAACCCCAGCCACTGCCACAAACACCACAAACACAGAAAACGGCTTCTATACCAGGTAAGCAAAGAGCCTTTTGCTTTAGCTGGTGACTGTTAACTTTCAAGGTTTCACTTGTTGTTGTTTAATGGGCAATGGCATTGGCGTTACTCAACTGCTTTAATTGATTGTTATTCATACAAAGTAAAGGATACAAACCTCAGATTAGTTTAACCAATCAGCCTTATATGATGGTCATCAAATGGGCATTGTTTATAACACATGATAATCATTTTGTCCGTTGGAATGAATCAGGTTCACAAGAAATGCAAACCTGGTAGCAGCAGGGGTGATGAAGAACATGAAGAGAGTGGGTAACTATGTGAAAGAGACGGTGGACGATGCCTTGGACCCATATCGAAAGCGACCAAAATGAAGAAACTTTTTACATTAAATATGGAGAC